TGATTTGTGTGTGTATATGTGGTTTGTGTGTGTGTTTCAAATAACACATTTGAATTAAAGAAGCCACAACTGAAAAGGAAGTTCCCAGTTGGATTTATTGAGCAACTAACTGTGGTCATTTTCACATAGTCCTGATGTCAAATTCTGAGGTCAGAACCCTAAAAACTTAATAATTTTTTTAGAATCTAAGACTGGGAAAAGCTGCCAGGAGAAACTGTCATTTTCCTTTCATGTAGGACATTTTAACTTTTTTGAAAGTGGAATATTACTTGGTTACTTTTCAATTTTCTTTAACAGATGTTTTAGTAGATAACAAAAGTAATTTCTAGGCAAAGCTGCTTTCTTTGGTTAACCTTAGCGCATCACATGATTTATATCTTCATTTAAATTATCAGCAGGCTCTAACAGTGGTGCCTTTTTGAAAATTAAATAGAATCTAGATTCTATTTTGATAATGTTGATAAATGATAGACTTATAATCGTTTCTTCACTATGTTAAGTTTGGAAGAAAGATCAGATGTAATTATATTACCCCGTCCTCTTCTAAACTCTCTTTTACCTAGATTTCCATTCATGGTGACTTCTCCATCACCTCCTTCCTACCCATCTGAAATCCCATCAACTTTTTGGCCTCGTCCTCGATCTGTTCTTACGTGTGGATATTACCAAATGTCAGATTGGAGAGTCTCTGTTTGTTTTCCTTGCTTCCCTGGGATATTTCCCCATCTCTCTCTGAAACTCTCTCCCTGTTCAAACCCATATTTCCAGTGACATCTGCTGGGTAGCTATCCATTGAAGTCCAGCCAGCACCCCAAACTCAACATGCACCCACCATACTGCACCCACCTCTTTTGAGTTGCTTCTTATTGTGTTAACAGTTCCCCACGTTACCTTTCTCACCAGTGATGCCCTGTCAAAGCCAGTGGTGTCCTTGAGTTCTTCTTCACCTTGGTACCCCATTAGTGAGTCTGCCCTTCACCCCATCTACAACACTGTTTCCAAGCCCTTCACTTTTTTTTTTTTTTAAGGTTTTTATTGTGGATTGAGTGAAAGTTTACAGGGCAGATCATCAGTTTTACATTCAACAAATCATACACCTTGTTTCATTACAATGATTATAATCCCCTCCATGTACCATCAGTTAACAGTATTTCTCTCTAGTCACTTTACCCTTTAAAAACAGAAAACAGGCATATATAATCATTTACACCTCCAAAGGGCGCATTCTTCAAGTCTGCCACCAGTCCACCAGCTCTTAGTCCCTCTCTTCCCATGAATCTAGAGTCCTCAGCTGCTCCTCCTCACCATGCCCCCATCTCTTTCATTGTCTCTGTCCTTGCTGCTTCTCTGGATAAGGTCCCGCATTCTGCTTGTGCGCTTCTCTCTTGATGGCCCTAGGGTCCTCTGTTTCAGGACTGTAAGATTAACCACTCCCTTGTTTTTGTTACAAAACTTCTACCTTTACAATTGTAACAGTCACAATTAGTCATGGTAACTGTTATTCACTATTGAATCATACGAATCTTATCCCCATCTCTTTTCACCAGCCCCATCTAGACAAGATGAAAAACTATTCAGTGAGTACTCTTTCTTCCCCCTCCCCTTGCCCCATACTCTTAAACTAAACTCCCTCTTGAAACCTTATAAGCCAGTCACTTCGTGCCTTTATTGCCCCCCTCATTTTAGGTAGCCAATGTCTAAGCTATCCCTATCTACCCTGTGTAAAGAGGGGATAGCATTGATACTTGATGTGAAGACTCCTTCCCGCTCTGTTGGTATTTAGTGTAGTAGCTGCGAATAGGGCTGTGAACTTTAAGGTCAGCAGTTCGAAACTACTAGCTGTTCCACAGGAAAAAGATGAGGCTTTCTGCCCCCATAAAGATGTACAGCCTTGGAAACCCTGTACAGGGTTGCTGTGAGTTGGAACCAACTCCATGGTACATCACCACCACCACTACCACCTCCATGAGTATAGGTCAGATTCATCAAATTGTAGCAGTTTACCCTTTTTTCCTTCAACCACAAAAAAAAAAAGATTTTTTTTTTTTTTGGTTATTTTCTTCTAGCCGAGTTCTGATTAGGTCAAACGGGTACTGTCTGCAAGTTTGGGTGTTCTTATGCATCTCCCCTCACTTCATATTAGCTGGATGCTTCACTCTCAGCTCTAGCCCTGTGTGGATAAGTCCTTGTCCATGGGCTCAAGTGTCCCCAGGTCTCACCACACTTTGGACCAACCAGCCCTTCCTCTTCTCTCTCTCATCTCCAGGTCAATGGGAGTCAATGGACTATGGTTGAACTCAGCCCATTTCTTCATTGCTGCCTTTCCCCCTCTTCCACTCACCAGTAAACCAGTGTGGTTGCCAGTAAGCTTACATGCCTGTTCGTGTGCTCCCTTTGAATTTCAGTCTTAGAGGGGAGTTTGTCCTGAAGGAACTTGATTGTTTGCCTTGATGGCTTCCTGGTGAAAAGCTTGCTTATTCTTGTAGTAGCCAGTAGCCATTTGGGGGGGGGGGGTGGTTTCCTGATGATCTTTTTTTGAAAGTGTATCTTCTGTCGCTCTAGCAGTTCCAGGCTGGTCTACTTGTCCTTGCTAGTGGGGATGTCCCACCTCAGAAGGTTCTGGATGGAGCTCAGGATTCCACCAAATGTCCTATACTCTGCAAAGGCTCCACAAGAGGGCTGTTTCACTGGGCAAGTTCTAGAACTCCGTTTATGTGTTCCAGTCAGTTATATGCTGAAGATATCAAGTCCTTCACTTTTGCATCAGCTCTTCTTTCTTAGCCCCTTGACTTCTCTCTAAAGAATTATTTTCTCAGAACTCAAAGGAATAGACAGTTGGGACAGGGCAATCATGGAATGAGGAGGAAAGATAGCTCCGGCCTTTAGGAGTTAACAAGCTCTGGTGGTGTAGTGGGTTACGAATTGGGCTGCTAACCACAAGGTCAACAGTTCGTATCTACCAGCTGCTTTGTGAGAGAAACATGAGGTTTTCTGCTCATGTTTATTAAAGAGATTATTAACATAAAGATTTACAGCCTCAGAAATCCTATACAAGGTTACTATGAGTCAGAGCCAACTCCACAGCACACCAACAACAACCACGTAAATGGAAACAGGTTGCGTGGTGGAGCAGAAACAGCAACTACAGAAATCTAAACTCCTTGCCTTTGAGTCCATTCCAACCCCTAGCAACACTCTGGGGTAGAGTAGAACTGCTCCCATTGGGTTGTCAACGCTGCAGATCTTTATGGGAGCAGCTGGTGGGTTTGAACCTCCAACCTTGTAGTTAGAAATCCACCACTTAGTGCAGGAGGGACGAAGAGGGCACTGAGCGTGGGCCACTCTGAGGAGTCCACTGGTGAAGCAGAGGAGGAAGGTGAAGGTGGCGGGGGTGCGCTGTAGAGCCTTCTATCTCCCCGTGTAATCCATGTGATCTGATCATAGCACACCCGGGATAGTGCCTCCACTTCCATCTTCGCCATCTCAGTTAATGGCAGCTCAGACCAAAATCCTTGCGTCCTCCTCTTCGATGCCTCTTTGTGTCTCGTGCTTTGCATCCACGTGTCAGAGCTGTCATCTCTACCTTCAGTGTGTCTGGAATGTTCCTCCCTGGGCCGATTCTCCAGCCTCCTGGCCTCTCACCTACCTCCTTGCTTTGGCCCTTGTCCCTCTTCAGTCTGGTCTTCAAGTAGCAGCCAAAGCAACGCCCACCCTTGTCTCCTCAGGAGTTTCCCATCACACTCAGATACAGTCTAAAGCTCTTCACTGATCTGTGAGATGAGGGACTCTGTGTGACATGTTTTTAGGTGCCTTAGAGTTGCTTTCTGACCTTGTATGATGGTAGCACTTCCCCTTGCTAGCCTGTAGCCGTGCCCTTTTCTATCCCTGTGCCCTTTTCTATCCCTGACCGTAGTTCTTCCCCTTGCTCAGTCCCTACAGTGAGCCAGACCTGCAGTTCCTCAAGCCTGGCTTTGGGGGTCTTTGCACCTGTCATTTCCTGTTAGGAAGGTGCCTCCTTCACTTCTTGTGTAGGCATGCTGTCTTCTTCTGAACTCTGCTCAGCTAGACCTTCCAGGCCATCTGCTTACATCTGCAAACCTTCCCACCTCGCCCCAGCTCCACTTTATTTTCTTCTGCACTTATCTCTGATCTATATTTATTGTTTGCTTCTTGCCTCTTCATGACTTGGGGTGGGGCGGGGCGGGGCAGGGGGTGGATGGTTTTTGCCTCTGCTGCATCCATAGTGACTATCACAGTTCTTGACACAAAGCAGGCCCCCAGTATTGATTGGACAAATTGTACTTTGGGGAATTTCTCTGGAATCCTTGCTTTCTGCTTGCTCTGCTGCTTTACCTAATCCAGCTGTTGGATGGATCCTGTGTGTTCACTTCTTTATGTAAAGTACCAGTTGGTGCCATGGTCCTGCCTGAGCTCTGTGGTTTCTGAGTTCCCCATATTAGCCTGGATTCTATTTCTGATGAGGACTTGCAGCTGAAAGAGTTAATAATCTCTGCCCACTTCTAACCAGTTATTCGAATCCCATGCCATTCCGTCTGACTTAATAAAGAGGTTCCTGTCATTTACTCAAATTACCGTAGTACAATTTCAAAAAATGTCATGTTGGCCAGATATTGCTAGGTGTACGGAGAGAGTAAGTACCTTGCGGATATACTTAGAGAGCTATTTTAATTAACGATAGCTTTTATGCCTTATTACATGCTTGTGGGTCTATGCTGGGAATAGAAGAGACATTTTCACAAGATGAATGAACACCTTCTAATTTTCCGTATTACAAGCTTGGGATTTTTTCATATGAGGCCTTCTTCAAGCAAAGCCATCTGGGGCTGACATATGAAAGTGTTTTTGTTTGCCTGAGCTTTTCTGGAACAGCAGTAATAGAATGGAGAGCCAAGGCCTTTTCCGTGCCATGTGATGTGGTAACACGTTCCTTCCAGTGTGCTAATTGTTCATGTCTCTGTGTGTCTTTGGCTCTGTTGCAGGCCCTGCAAGATGAGCTGGACACCCGCTCAAATCAGGTGCGAAGTGCAGAGAAAAAACTACAGCACAGAGAACTGGAGTCACAAGAACAGGTACGGCCCAGCGTGTTTGGTTGTCGACAGTGTCTAGGTCAAGGCACTTAGGCATTACCTGCTCCCGTTAGGATGCTTTGGCTGTGAATAACAGAATGCTCCACCTCTAGTTGGCATAAGCAAGCAGTAAGACCGTTTATGACTTCACAAAACAAGAAGTCCATAGGCAGGGTGGGCTCTGAGAAGAGCCCTGGTTCTGTTTCTATGACAATCTCGTGACTCGGCCTCCTGTGCTGGCTTCCTTCGAATGGGACACCCAAGATGGCTGCAGCAAGCCCCGGACATCCCTTCCAGATCTGGCAATGACCAGGGCTAGAAAGGTACTGTCAGTTTCTGGAGTCTCCTAAGGGTCGGGAACTTGTGCCACAAGCCCCCTGTCCAACCTCCCTTCACATCCCAGTAGTCAGAGCAGGTCCCGTGCCCAGTCTTGGAGTACCTCACCTAGCCTGGACCCACACAGATCTACAAGTTGGTGATGGAATTAGGTGAGGACGGCTAAGAAGAGGGGAAATGCATGCTGGGTATGCAGCCAACAGTGACTGCTCTGTCATCCTTTTAAAATAAGTGGGCATGATTTTACTTAGAGACATATGTCATGCTTTCTTTTGAATGTTAATGTTCTCCCCTTTCTCCCCACCATGTTAATGAAATAATTTAATATATACCATGAGTATCTGACTATAGCTAATGACCTATTATACTTTCTAATGACAGGATTCTTTTCATCCAATTCTTCTGTTTATAATGAATTATTCTTGATAATTTAAGTAAAAAGTCAATAATGTATCCATAAAGATCGTGGATCTTAATGGATCCTTCATGATTGCATTTTCATGGTCATTGGGCTTAGCCTCGCTAACGTCCTAAAGAAGTACCACTAAGCCGTTAGGTACCCAACCTGCCTAAGGTATGACAGACTCTTGTTGAGTTGACTCAGAGTAAAGCTCAGAACAACAGTATTAAATTAGTGCCTTGGACTTTGTGGAGAGAGTCAACACTGAATAAGGCTAATAGAGAAAGAAAGCTGTAACAACGGAGAAGTTGAAAACAAAACCCCGAAGCCTGGGATGATATAACAAAATGGCAAAAAGGAAGCACCAAAGCATTCTTGGGTATTCGTTGTATTGAACTACTGACTCCCTGATGTTCCTTCCTGCTTTTTTATGTGATTTGTGTATGTCAGGTATAGACGTGGTAGATGAAACCACATACATACGTATGCATATGAGTATAAACATAACATAGTCTATTTCTTGGAGTCAGTAATACTCCGATGAGTTACCTGAAGACAGCATTGATAATATTAGCTCTAGCTTTTCGAGGGTTTACACTGTGATGGGCATGATGTAAGAAATGTTGCTCCTGTTAACTAATCTAATCCTTACAGTAACCATGGTGACCTTGTATTATCAGCTCCATTTTAAATCGCACGCTTGACACCCAGAGATTGTGACACACATCCAAGCTCACACAGCAAGAAAGCACCAGCTAGATGCCATTGAGTTGACTTGGACTCCTGGTAGCATTATGTGCAACAGAACAATACGTCACTCAGTCCTGCACCCATCCTCACAACCGTTATCATGTTTGAGGCCCATCTTTGTGGCTATTATGCCAGTCCATCTCACTGGGCATCTCCTTCACTTTTGCTGACCCTCCACACCTCACCAAAGACCATGTTCTTCTCCAGCAATTTATCCCTGCTGATGCCGTGTTGAAAGCAAGCAAGTCAAACACTGTTCTCTTATGACCCATAAGGTTTTTGTGGGCTCATTTTCAGAAGTCAGTCACCAGACTTTTCTTCTGAGCCTGGAACCTGTCCACAGTGAGTGACTCTCTTGGTGTTTAAGAAATCTCAGTGGCATAACTTCCGGCGTCACAACAGCATACAGATGGACCGCCTGGTGGTGGACTATGTAGTGGTAGAGCTGCCTTCAAGCCAGGTGTGTCTGAATTCGAAACCTTTGCTCTTGTCTGATCATTTTAAAGACACAATATTTTAAGTTCATAAAAAAAATTAGAAAAAAAAAGAGAGTTCAGTAGCATTGGTAGGAAAAATAAGTCTTCATTTTGATTGTAAGATGGGATTGCATTGAAACAAGTTTATTAAGGGAGGCACGAAAACAAGCCCAGGGTTCCAAGTACCTGGTGCAGTAGCAGAATACCATGTCATCCCTCCATCTCCATGGGCAGGGGAAAAAACAAAGAGCCAAGGAACCAAAAACATGGCCTGTTTAGTATGTCATCTGAGATTGGAGGGTGGTCCTCAAGCCTCATCAGCATAGGTCTCATTGTCACCGGAGGTCAGCTGAGCTCCATCCTCAGTCTAGGACTTCTGTACCTGAAAGAAGAAGAAAAGACAAGCTTTGTGACAGCAGAAATGGTGCTCCCTGGAGGACTGAAACTTCTCCCTCATGTGATAAAATACAACTTCAGGTAAAACTTAGTTGACATCACTCTAATTCATGGCAAAACTTCACACGGAAATGTCTATAATATATTGAGAGTAGGGAAATTAAGAAATCCCCAATGAACAAGAGGGGACCACTCTCAGTCTTCTTTTATTGACTTCATTTTGATCATCAAAGTTGCTTTCATCTTTGTAGTGACAATAACTTGTTAGAATCTTTCTTACACTGATTCCTGGTATCTCCTATTAGGCTGCAGTTTACCCGAGAAATGTCAGGGAACACCCATGGGTGAAGCTGAATATTTCATCATCTTTGCAACCATGAGATGTTGTGTTTTTTCCACAAGGACCTAGGGTGTAACCAGAAAAAAATTCTAGTTGTATCAACAAAACTGAAGAGCAAATAATAGGCATTTAATAAATGCCATTCCTCTACATTGAATCTAATATAATCTGTTATTCTATCATAATTTGACCTATTTCCTTCTTTCCATTTGTGACATTAATAAAAGTCATTAAAAAAAGAAAACATTAGAATTGCTGCCATGCACATTTTTAAAGGTCTTGTCTACATACGAACCTAGTTGGGATATCTAAAATCTTGACATTCTTGCCTTAAGATGGTCCTTTTACTATCAGTCAATGCAAGGCCAGGAAGAGTAGCTAGCCTCCCATCAGACAAGCAAACAATGGCAATGTGTACAAATCAACTACTTGGGAGTTTTCCTCCCTTTCTTTTCAACCATATATTATCATCTTGATACTAGTTGCGTAAAGAATCAAAATTGAAACTGGCAGGGTTACAAAAGACAATTTCCTGGGCATCTTTTGTAACTTGCTTGGAAAAAAAAAAAAGGAAAAAAGTTTAGACTGTCCCTGGTTTTCATTTAAGAAAAATTCCTCTGTTTTGATTCTATAAAAACAAGAAATGAATGAGGCATTTTAGGAGTGGTGTTTTTAATTAAAAACAAAAAGCTGCTTCTCATCAGGTCTTGATGGGTGGTATCCTTGCTGTCCGCCACTTGCCTGGGTGCCATCAGCCCTTTCCTCCAGCTTGTAAAGCGTGGTAGATCATTAAACGAAGTCCCAGAGAGGGCTTGTTCATCAGTCGTGTTACAAAGGATTCATTTGTTCCTTAGGCAAACTCAAGAGATTGGTATTGTTGCTGTTGGGTCCCATCGAGTTTGTTCCAACTCACAGTGACCCTCCGTACAACAGAACAAGGAGTTACCTGGTCCTGCGCCGTCCTCACAATCATTGTTATAGTTGAGTATTGTTGCAGCCACTCTGTCATTCCATCCCGTTGAAGGTCTTCTTCTTTCCTCTGACCCTCTGTATTACCAGGATAGAATTTGAAATGTTCTTTTTGATGATGAATGTGATGCCATTCTTCTTCAATTTGCCATTCCTAGCATAGTAAACAATATGACTGTCAGATTCAAATTAAAAATCAGTACTTGTCGATTTAATGCCTAAAATATCGACATTTATTAGTGCCATTTAACTTTTCACAATATATTTTCCTAGATGCATATTTAATACATTCCATGTCCTGATTATTAATTGATGTTTCTAGCTGTTTCTCATTTTGAGTTGTAAGCTATCTCTTGAAATCTAATATTGTCTGTGATAGGATAATATCCATTTGCCTACAAGAAAGATTAGTTAGTACCACTGTTATTCAGATTTGCTTACCAACCACTAAAACCAGTGATGATGAAACTGAAGAATTCTACCAGTGTCTTCAGCCTGAAATTAGTCAAATATGCAGTCAAGATGTATTGATAATTACTGGTTTCTGATTGGGATGCAAAGGTTGGAAACAAAGAGGAAGGATCAGAGGTTGGATAATAAGGCCTTGGTGATATAAATAATGCTGGAGATTGCATGGTAGAATTTTGGAAGACCAATGACTTATTCATTGCAAATACTTTTTTTTAAAAGAACATAAAATAAAAGAGGAGTCTACACATGGACCTCATCAGATGGAATACAGAAAAATCAAATTGACTACATCTGTGGGAAGAGACGATGGAAAAGCCAGTGACGTCCAAAATCAGGCCCGGGATAAACTGTAGAACAAACGATCAAATGCTCTTATGCAAGTTCAGGTTGAAGCTGAAGAAAATTAAAACAAGTCCGTGAAAGCCAAAATTCGACCTTGAACATATACCACCTTGGATTTGAAGATAATCTCAAGAACAGATTTGATGCATTAGACACTAATGCCAAAGACCAGAAGAGTTGTGGGATGATATCACAAACATCACGTAGGAAGAAAGCAAAAGGTCATTAAGAAGACGGGAAAGGAGGAAAAGACCAAACTGGAGGTCAGAAAAGACACTGAAACTTGCTCTCCAGCATAAAAGATGCTAAAGCAAATGGAAGAAACAAGGTGAACAGATAATCTCAAAGGGCAGCTTGAGATGATACAGTCAAATATTATAATGAATTGTGCAAAGACCCGGAGTTAGAAAACCAAAAGAGAAGAACACATTCAGCATTTCTCAAGCTGAAAGAACTGAGGAAAAAATTCAAGCCACGACCAACAATACTGAAGGATCCTATGGGCAAGATATTGAATGCTGCA